AATATGATATAAAAATTGAAAAATATTAATTTCTCATTCAAAATATCTTAAATCTCATCAGATGTGCACTCGCATACATCGTGCAGTTTTAAGGATGTTAAAATGTCTAATTGAACTTCTACATTTCTATGAATCTTTTAAGTGCTTTACTGTTCAAAAATTGCTACAGATCACGATTCTTAACTAACCGAATTTTCACTTGTGGCCAACGTGCGCATCGTGAGGTGAAAGTACCAATTCTCAAGCACGCAATACTAGACATTTCACCTAAATTACGTGAAGAGGAAGTAGAAAAAGAAATATTAAAAAGAAAAAAGAGGGGAAGAGAGTCCGTTTCTGTCGGAGAGAAAGAGAGGCACCGTCGGGTCGTGTCAGTCGGATTTTCTCGCCGCGGGACGAACGAGTTGTAATAGCGAGCGAGCTGGTGCTCGAGGAGTAAAAAAGATGCGCCCGCTCGTGCGAATAGCGGTCTGAAACGTGCGATTCATTCGGTGTAAGACGTCAGTCAGGTTCGGTTGCGGCAGCGCCGGGCGTATGTTAAGCTGTCTTCGTGCTGACGGTTAACGTCGGCAGGACGTCACGCGAGCCCGAACAAAGCTCCCGGAGCTTTCTCCCCGCTCTTGTGGAAATTAACGCGTCACGACTTCATCAGATTTGATAGGATGCATCTAAACCTCATCGCGCCACGCCGCGCCACGCCGCGCCACGCCGCGCCACGCCGCGCCATGCCACGCCGCGCCATGCCGCGCCGCGCCGCCTGTCGAGGGTGGTTCTCGATGGGGTGGTGGGTTCTGGGTATTGCGTACGTCGCGAAATGCTCGCGATGTGCTCGGGAGAGTCACGCGATTCCGCGCGACGTCGCGATTCGTTAGCTGCACGCTGACTGCTGTCCTGATCACCATCGACTGCGCAGAAGCGCTTAAGCCTTTCAAGCACAGAGCCCTCAAGATTCGGATTCTACTAAATATTCATGTCACACATCCAGAATGACAAGCCAAGAGATCATTCCGCTTGGAATTCATTTTTCTTTCCTATTTTCCTATTTTTACAGAATAAACGCGCAAACTGAAGCGAATGCTATGAATAATAGCATTTTTTATATGAATAATATAAAAAACCGATAGAGTGCATCACTATGCACTAGACTGAGTGGTGGTTTCGTTATGAGATCGCTGTGCTTGAATGATTTAGTTCTAATAGGTCTCTCACGGTGAAAGCACTTTGCTCGAAAGGATTAAGATGATTGAATCACAAGAACGAGGACCTCATTCAGATTTGAGTCCTTGTGTCATATACACGGAAAAAATATGTAGTATAAAAGTTACGTCAAAATATTGAATTTCTTTTTACAGCGTCTTTTGTAAACCTGGGCTGTATACTGAAATTGTAACAATTTTAACTAATAATAAATTTGATGAATTTATCTGATACAAAAAAAACATTTTGCAATAAAAAGTCAAACGATAATTTGAAACAAATATGTAATAATTTCGTTTTGTTTCACGTAACAATTTCAAATATATAGTAATTCGGCTCCCTCTGTACGTTCAAAATTATAAAAATTCTGTTGTAATGTTTGCTGCAATATTTTCTCCGTGTACGAACGAATATTCGAATCGATTTGAGCGAATTCGCTCCAATGCCAGTGGAGTGCATCGAATTCACTTTTCAATTTCGAGCGAAAAAGTTCACTCGGCGATTTAGAGTGGAGAATTTTCACTTTAGTGAGCGAAAAGTTTCTCGAATTCAATTGATTCGACTGTCGCTATATTTTTCCGAGTGGAATTCCGCTCCGAGAGATCTAGAAAGAGTACTTTATACGTAACTTAATATAAGGCACGGTGGTCTCACATGTGAGAGCGTCGCGGCACTCAACGTGTTGAACGGGATTTAACACTGGACTCGACGTGCGCGACGAGATCGACGGATCTCGTCGCGAGATCGATCGTATACATACGCCGCGATTACGTCCCGGAAGAATGGATGGTTCACGTTGCATTTACACGCAAATTGCGCGCGTGACTCCCCCAAATAAAGCGGCCGGGGAGGATAAGTCGGACCCGTCGAATTTATTCCGCGAGTCCTACACGCGGATATACGTGGACTCCCTGCGAATTTATATGGAAATGCAAGAGCGCCCCGCTGCTCTCGGTCGTCTCCGCGAAGAGTTTTTTATCCTAAACGAACTCGACTCCGCTTCCCAACGATTCCATTCCCGATCGCTGTTTGAACACACTCTCAAGCTCACACACTCTCTTTTTCTCGCGAGCGCGGCAATTTGTCGTGGCGAAAGCCGTGTTAGTGAAGCTGTAAAAATAGCGTCGGCGGTTAAGTTCTCTCTCTCCCTCTCTCCCCCATTCGCGAGGAGGAGAAGGAGGAGGAGGAGGGCAAAGACGCAGCCTGCACTCTTTGCTGACGGTCTACCACACAGCGGGGTAGCTACCTTTCATTGGATCAAGGCAGGTTTCCTGTGGTTCATGTTAAAGAATCGGAACTGTAGCCGCAGCGTTAGATCTTTCCGTACTGTTGGGAAAGAATAGGTGCCGTAAGTACATATCGCAGCTTTCGACTCGCGCAGTCTGTCGTCGTGTGGTGGTGAGTGTTCGCGACAGAGGACGGCTCTCGCCGGCGGTGGCGATCCTTGACTGGCGAGACCAACTGCTGATCGCCGACTTGCGGCTTTTAGTCGACCGGATTTCAATCTTTTGCACTCTTTTCCTTTTTCCAACCGATCCACGCAAAAATCTGGTCGTTTTCGGACGATGTCGTACAGCTTGCATGAATCTCGATATTTTAGTATCAAAATGGTACAAGGATATTAATCTGTTATTTACTCGACAAAATGTAGCATTATTAAATATAAAGTATAATATTATTGAGAATATATAAGCAATCGTATTAATAATCCCATTATATATATATATATATATATATATATATATATATATATATATATATATATATATATATATATATATATATATATATATATATATATATATATATATATATATATATATATATATATATATATATATATATATATATATATATATATATATATATATATATATATATATATATATATATATATATATATATATATATATATATATATATATATATATATATATATATATCCAAGTATAACATTATTAATGTTGTCGTATGAAAAATGAACAGACAGGATGGGCTGGAACGAGATGTGACGTCAAGTTAGACTTGACATGGGAATGCAAAGGGTTGAAGTCAGCCTTTAGTCATATTGATTTTCATTTCCTCGTTCGTGTTGAACACACATCAGAAAATTGCAGCATATCTATCGATAAACTCGCCTCTATCGGTCTCGCAAGTCGAGGTGAGCCGTTGCGACTCGACATCGCAATTGACACCGCCTGTCAAAGGGGACGCGTGACAAACACCTACACGTAGAGCATATAAAAAAAAACAGAACGAAACACGATGTAAAGAGCCTGGCGACTCTTTGGGTTCTGCCTGTCTGTAAAATAGTTCTGATAAGGTACGCTTAAGGGCTAAGAGTCACACCCTTTAGTCATCCGTACGTCGCATATACTATGTAGTAATATTCAAGTGTTAGAACTGTGCAGGGGAAATTGCAGGAGAAACAGAACAGAAAATCTAACAGAACAGAGTGAAAAGGCAATGCGAATGATGCAAAATCAAATCGTGCGACGGGTTCACGAGAGATTCAGGTGTTGCATTAGTCACGACGTGTTTAATTGCGCGATCCTGTTTCAAGAGCCGCGACGAACAAGATCCGTGGCATTCTCTCAGGCTCTTATTCAGAACTTTCTTTTACCGATAAAAGCCTCTGAACGTGACCTGTGCTGGGATTCTGTAACTCGTTATTGAAGTTAACGATAGTTTCGTTATCATTGCGCAGCTTTTCTATGGTATACAAAAGTTGCGCAACGATAACGAAACTGTCGTTAACTCCAATAACGAGTTACAGAATAGGGCTACTGGACTGATTTTCCAATCGATAGTTCAAACATAGATTCAAGTTTAAATTCTGTTTGAACACATAAAACACTTTGATAGAATAGAATTTAAACGTGAATCTAAATTTAAACTGCTGTTGAAAAATCGGCCTTTATATATATATATATATATATATATATATATATATATATATATAT